AACAGATAGTGTTCATGTTTTTATCAGAACTCCTTTTCCAAAGTTGTCAGTATGACAGCAGACATGATAGCCCACTGGCAGTCAGTTGGCTTTGCACATGGTAAGCTTCTCTTGTGTTCATCTCATGCATAGATAATTTCCAGACAAAGTACAGGCCATTAAGCCCCATACATTAAACAACCTTACCTTGAGATTCCTTTCTTGTATTCCCCTCTCAATTTCCTGCTACTGATTTCCCTCAAATTGCTGCTTTGTAGGTGTGTGTAACACTGATAATTTCAGTATCTTGTCTATYACCATTGACTACGGGCCATTTGGATTCCTTGATGAATACAAAACAGGTCAGACAAATTAGTATTACCCACATGTCAATGAGAGCACCACAAAGGCACATACTTTATCTTGATTTTCTCTGAAGAACGGCTTCCTTATTGAATAAAGTGATTTGATGCAGTCTATTTAATGAAAACTTGAGATAAACATACATACGTCAACATACTCAACCAAGCATATTATAAATACAGGGATGGTGGAAAGGGGGATGATTGCCTCCACCTTCCTCCCCCTCCCCACACACACACTAGAAAGCATGTTTTACTGATCTTATTGTTWTTGTAGATTTTGTACCAAACTCGTCTGATGATGAAGGCAGATACAGCTTCAGAAACCAACCAAGCATTGGGTTTTTCAATCTGAAGAAACTACTWAATGCTCTATCACCATTACTGGGCCAGAGAAGGTAACTAAAGGTAGATTAAGATAACAATTCTCTCGCAGGAGGTTTCACATGTACTGGGGTTTCACACGCAGGATTCCAGGTGTGACTACAAACTGTTGCTCTATCCGAAAATGACTTACCATGTTGATTTGTCAAAGAAAGATTCGGGAACCCCCTCCCCCCTGTGCATACCCTTGCTCCTGTTCAATTTGTAGACATAGCAAATGGTTATCACATATATGATGTTTATTAACCACCAGAGGTCAGAAAGAACTAGTGAAATATACAGAATTATTCAATAATCGGTGAGTTATCGCATATAGAGCTGCAAAACAACTAATCATTAACCTACTATTTTTGGCAAAAGTCATATAAATAAATATGACCTGTGTCTGTGTTTCTCATGGAATCAAAAAAATAAATAAAACGATAATATCCTGATAATATATAAACTGAGTGTAAATAAAACAATAATGTATAAACTGAGTGTAAAAGGGGAGTCAACTTAAGCGTTACTGATGTCGGACCTTGAAAAAATCTCTACCACTCACGCACTTTAAAGGTTGTAAATTTGATGTAATATTATCGTTAGTGTCCAAAATGATGTAAATTTGATGTAAATGTCCTCAAATTTACGTCATTTTGGACACAAATATTTAGTCGCTACTGGCAGAGGCCAGAGTTGATCTATTTATGTGCTTCGTCGATTTTTCAACCGTGACTTCAAGTTTCGAGATGACTGACAGGGGCCAGCCTGATTGCTCAAAACGCCCTCCTCCTCCCCTTGCCTGTCCTGTCTGATTTAAGGCCCTTTTTGTGCCCACACCTTTACTGGTGCGATATGATTTTAGCTGTTGCAATAATTTTAGTTAAGTGCGCGATTTTTCCAGTGAAGTGAGGTGTTTTTGTTTTTGTGTGTTTTTTCTTTACCAATTCATTTGCTCATTCTTGTTATGATGTAACTAATCGTAGAAGCGTATCCAACACTGGCATATTAATGTGTCTTCAAAACTTCAATTAACAAATTTGGTGAAAACAAAGGCAAAATACACGTAGTCTTTGTCCATTCTGTGATAGAAAAACCGAGGAAATTAATAACATTTGTGRTATCTATTTGTAGATTCATGAGTATCTATCGTAAAAAGCTTGGTTTGATTGGATCGATAAGCAGTGATGAACTCCTTATCAAGTCTNCGAGTCAATACCATAGTGTCGAGTCAATACCATAGTGTCGAGTCAATACCATAGTGTCGAGTCAATACCATAGTGTCGAGTCAATACCATAGTGTCGAGTCAATACCATAGTGTCGAGTCAATACCATAGTGTCGAGTCAATACCATAGTGTCGAGTCAATACCATAGTGTCGAGTCAATACCATAGTGTCGAGTCAATACCATAGTGTCGAGTCAATACCATAGTGTCGAGTCAATACCATAGTGTCGAGTCAATACCATAATGTCGAGTCAATACCATAGTGTATCTGCCCAAAGATCGCACAATGTCATAAAGGGAAGGGACGAATCACAGCCTGTGTTTACATCCGGGCTTTTTATAAGTTGCTTGCTTTATAACTTGCTTTTGACGTCTTTAGAGCTGTGTCAGTCAAATACCAGTCAATTATCTATAAATATCGGCTATCATAAACTCATAACTGTATTTTGTTGCTGTAAACGTTGTAGTTAATGGAATCTAGTCGTGCTGATTATACGATGACATTCAGACAACTCGCTGACCTCACAAGATATCACATGCAAAACGGCACTATTCCTGAAGGAGCCTGGGCACTAGCAGCTCTTGCTAAGCATAAAAACTGGTTTGACTGGTTGCAGCGATACTGGGAACGACTAGACAGGTATGGTCATGGTAACCTTCCTGTCTCTGTAAATTTCAGTATTATTTCTAATTATATCTTTATTTACAGCAATGAAGGACATGATGCAGACGAATCTAGAAGACAGCGAATGAATGGTATCAAATATTTTCTTCTTGGTAGATCCGATAATCACCATTAAACCAATTGCTGACTTGAACTTCCTCCCCCACATGATATGTATCCCCTGCCACGCCCACTACATCTTGGCTGTCCTTTGTAACGGAAAAAATGTGATCCCCTTTATTGATTTCAGCGATCAATCCGAGATATATTCTTCGAAACTGGATGGCACAGTTAGCCATTGAGAAGGCTGATGTAGGAGACTACACTGAGGTAAATACTGTACTAAAGTATAAAATATATATTTCATATTAGACAAATTATTCACATTTATGTAAAGTGGTAAAACACGAGTCTCAAAGCATGGTTCTCATCACGTCACCTATAAACCATAGTAAGTAGAGCCATAGTAAGTAGAGGGAGACACTCTGCTAACTATGCCTAAACCAATATTTTAGGTTCGAAAGATATTGACTGTCTTACAAAATCCATATATTGAACAGGTAAGAGTACATTGTCGCCATTGCTATCAAGGCAGCAACCGCCATACCATTGCTTAAAGGAAATTTCCAGGAAAAGTGTCATGTTACCCGATTAAAGCAAGTTTATCTGATATTCACAGGCCGAAGCTGAAGCATCAGGTTTTGCCTCAGCCCCTCCCCCATGGGCGTCGAAATTAAGAGTCAGCTGTTCGTCATGACAACTTGTTCACAGTCCCCATAAATCAAATGACAGAGACGTTGGTATAATTCAAACTGAAGTACATTTTGTTATTTGTAAGGGTTTTCTACCTTAAATGTTCAGTAAATGTATTGTTTTGATTACGCAATAATCTGCGGTAAATGAGAATCGATGAACATATGAAGGCCTATCGAAACCTACACATCATACAGTCCGTATTTGACTTATGTCACTTTTGAGCTTCATTTCATTCTCGTATTATAGCCGAATTGTAGATATGTCGCATTGTTACTGTTCAGTACCCGCGCATGCATAATCCCATAGCTGTATATCGTCAGTAGCTGGGGTCTCGGGTTTTCCGGTATCAGTTATACTGACATTCAATATTTATAAATAAAATATTTAATTGCTGCTATGGGCTGTTTAGATATCAAGATTTATTCCAACATTTTGGACTATACATRTACGAGATTTTAGTTGTGCGGGTATTATTTTTTAATACGGGCATCAAAATGCCTAGTGCAAGTATGCTCTTTATACGGGCTTTTAGTTATGCGGGGATAGGTTATACGAGCATCTTTATGCCTTCATGTAGATGTACATGTAGCTGCTATTTAGTAATATATCCGTGTTCGTGTATGTTCTATTTACTTGGTTATGCGGGCATTTAGTTATACCGGCATTTTATCCATCCAGTCCATAATATCCTTATTCTTTTCCTTCGTTAGCAAGTCGTTATTTCCACCTCTCTCGACCCCATTATGAATCACCAGACACTCTTTTAACTTCTCATTTCGCTTATATTCCTCAATGTCTTTCTTAGTCTGCCGGGGATTTCGGCGGCGTGTTTGTTTTCTTGACTTAGATTCACGAGGTAGTTTAGTGAGATACGGTGTTTTTCTATGCTCTCCCATTGTTGCTGCTGTATTAAGTGGAACAAGGGAATACCGTTCTACCAATCCTTCCATGCTATCCTCGTCAGGTGGTAAATAACTGTTGTTGGCGACTAACTGGCCACCTAATGTTGAACCAATCCGCGGAAAATACACAATTGAGTTAGTAACGTCGGCTTCATTCTCCATCGGTTCATTTTGTGGTATGWAGTTTGAAGTATCTAGTTGAAAAGGTCTTCGTTTCATTGTGTTCGCAACCCAATGAATTGAGGATGACTGTCTGAGAGACAAGTAGTTCGTAAGAGCTGGTAATTTTGGGTCGATTTTGTTGTCTTTCTTGAACTTAAAGCCACGATAGCCACGATTGTAGTCATAGTTGGTCATATCTCGTTGTTTGAAATGTCGAACATGTAAAAATACCAACTCAGTTCTTGTGAAGTATCGACATATGTTGACTTAACAAGGCTGATTTGATTGCTTCACTGTACCACCGCTACACTGTTAATGAAGTACAAATAATCACAGCCACAGACTCTATCAACAAAACCTTCAAGTACTCAGTAAACAAAGAGTTAATATACTCCTATGACGACAATACAGCTGTAATCCTTTATCAATGAACTGTTAAGCACCAGTAACCCCGCATAATTCATGATAATTAAATGTGCTTTGGAAATATAGTTTCTTCACTGACTGGAAAAAAAAGGTTGGTCTTGTCAAACAAGGGACACTTGTTGTCTGGCTACAGCGATTTGAGGCATTTAAAGTTATTTGTTTTATTTTATTATGGGCGAATTTAACTTTAAGTTAAGCGTTAAGTTTTGTAAAGATTTCGCTTTTTCTCGCTTACTTACAATTTCTTTTTGAAGCCGCGTGAATAGTTTTTTTTCTCTCTACCTATAATCAATATGTAAAGCATACTTTTGTTTAGTTTTTAAAGCTTTAAACGCGTCAAAGCGACAAGAAGGAAAATTCTCGAATAAAATATAGGAAGACATTAATGTTGTGGAGGTGGGGTAAACGTAGACCTTTAAATCTTTAAAGATCTTTGCATTCTTTCGCTTTTTGTTTTTGTCGTTTGTTTGTTCAGTTTTGTTTTTTATTTTCGGTTTATGATTTTATGGCTTTCATCACAATTCTTTCAATTTGAAAAACCGATGCTGATCACACGAATCGTTGATCTCTCATTGGCTGTGTATCTATATGACGTGGTATATCTGACGTCACGATAATTTCTCATCCCATATCAATAATGTACTTCTAAGAATAATCGACTTTCAWCAGTACTCTGCGTAAAGTGGAAAAACTCAGSCAATCGASATGATCGAACAGGAAACGTTTTCAATGACTGAGGTGATGAGGAAGATTTCCAGAGATCAGTTCACAATGAAAGTGACCTATAAGCATCTTCGGGAACCCGGGGTAATCTTATGTCGTTCGAGTGAGGAACGAACAACTGAAGATTACCCTGGGTTCCCGAGGATGCATATAAGTAGTACTAAAAAAGTACTGAAAAAATGAAGATTCCACTCAAAATCGATAACACTTTTATAAGCTCTGCCGAAACATTTTCTGAGGAATATTTTATAAGCGTTAAGCGATTGTCACTTGTGGTCGTTTCTATGTATTGGGCTATTTAAAACACGTCTGCATGTTTGACTAACTATGTCATGTTTGTGTAAACAAGTAAGAGTGGTCAGTCACGATCACCTGAACTTAATTGATGTTGCTAACGTCACAGGCAAGATAGGGTTATTTATATAGACAGACTTTTGATGATCACTGTGAAAAAAAGGAATGAATTCCAAGTTATGTAAAACTTATGGAAATCTAAATTTAGTTTGTCTGTGAAAACATTCACAGAGATCATGGTCAAACGTCGCTTCCCTGATGTACCGCCTATTTCAATGCCGATGAGATGATAAAAGAAAGAAATTACATTGAAGTCATCGTTTATATTGAGTCAGGACATGTGAAAGCCACGTCTCACCCTCAAAAATTGGAGAATTGAATTTGGTACTTGTGGCATTTGACGTTTGACTCGAGTTTGTGGTCGTCAAAAAAAAACTCATCGAAATTTTCATGCAATGGAAAAAAATACTTCTCCTGTGAAGTTTAGCATAAAGTAGTGTATTTTCTTYTTATTCTTCAATAAAGACGTATTATTTTTAGTAGTAGTACACAAAGGTTTAATTTCTGTACTTTTTCTCAAAAACCAAAAATTGTATAGACATCGCTTTTGTGTCATTGAAATCTATAACAGTTTTCCTAATCTTTCTATTTTATCCAGTACTTTTCATTTTATCTCTCATCGTATCTTATCTCGAATCTGGATCCTCTTGATCTCAGGCCTGTTTTTAATCGCTTTATATGTATACCTGTTGAAATGTTTTAAGCCCATATCGTCCTTGTCCCCTGACTGGCGGTTCTGCATCCTGTTATTTCACTGAAATCAGGATTAATTCAGCCAAAATCAATTAATGAAATAAATTGAGTGAAAGTAATCGTAAAAGGACACCGCCTTTTTCTCACCATATGCTTTTGATTGCTTTTTCGTTAAGTCAATATTTGCTCTCAATCAATCAAGCCTGTTATGAAAGCTTCTCAGTTATATAGTACTATTGTGAAATAGTTTTTATGCCATCGTTCAGTTAGTTTATATTCCCACAGGCCATTCTACAGTTCTTGGAGTGAAGTTGACAAATATGTTACAAAAAAGTTTCTTTAGAGGACGATTTTGAAATGATGATATGAATARTTGGACGATCAAACGAAGATGATGTGCGCCTCTTCAAATCGCCCTCTGCAAATCAATTAAATTCTGTCCCGAACCAATCAGAGTAAAAGCGAATTGTCAACTGAAGCCGTAATACAAACACGCTTAACATGGACTTTTAATCGAGTTTTAACGTGCAATAGAAAGTCATTGACTGGTTTATTGGTGGTTTGTG